CAAAAAGGTTATTTCTAAAAAGAAAAAAAAATAACACACTGCAGCATAGTTTTAAGCAGCAGTCTTGACAGGATTCGAACTGCCGACCGGCCACATCCGCGCAATCCACCAGCCTCTCCACTGCACCACCACGACCCTGCTGCAGGAATAGTGCTGATTGTCGTATTTATACTTAAAATCTGTATATAGTATACTGGGGCAAAGCCCCAGTATACTAGATATATAATTTTGTAAAGGCACGCCCACTTCCTGTAAGTTCCCTCTCTCTAGGACATTCTCACTGAGAAAGCCATTTCTTCACCACGTGGCACTATGAATATCATTAAAAACCGCGAGGGGTGTATATCGAGGGCTGGGGTGTATATATCAGAGGCAGGGGTGTATATGCTTAATATACTACCCGGCGGTGCCTTTGATCTTACAGTAACTATAGTATATGTACATATAAAATAGTATAGTTTACTATTCTAAATAATTTCCTTACACTATTATTCAGAATTGACATCATACTCTAACTTCGTTACTACAAGGAATTTTGCATGTTGTTGCCGGAACAAATTCCCAGAAGTAGTACTAGTGCTTTATGTTCCGTGTCCAGGCTGCATTACTTAAAACTGATGTACAACTAACTTGCTATAGTTTGATGAGAATGTCTTCACACTACTTTGCTTTTCTTCTCTCCTTCATTGTCCTACTGTATGAAGCTAATGCCTCATCAGGTATGGGTCACTGTACTACTGGCTATCGTACTCCTTCCCTCTATCACCAGTACTGCTGCTTATCTGCTTATAATGGAAAAACAATTAAACTAAGAAAAAGTAATTCCAACAAATATATTCTGTGTCCAACTGCTGGTTTACCAAAGGCTTTATGTTACTCATTGGGATTAATCTTTTACTCTTGCAGTGAAGTATTAGAGAACATTCCCAATGCAGCATCAGGCTATTATGACATCAGTCAAAGTAATGGGAGTATTGTTAGTGTGTACTGTGATATGGAGGGTAGTAACTGTGATGGTAATGGTGGCTGGATGAGAATAGGATACATTAACATGACAGAACCTGGTGCTACCTGTCCTCAAGGTCTCTACAGCTACACATATGGAGGCAAAACACTATGTGATAAATCTCAGGGATTAGGAGATGGATGTAGTGCAACATTCTTTTCATCCATTGGATTGAACTATACTAAAGTCTGTGGACAGGCCAGAGGATATCAGTTTGCAACTACTGATGGTATTTATCCAAATTATGGCTCTCCAAATATTGATGGTGCTTATGTTGATGGTTTATCAATTACTCATGGAAGCAATCCGCGTCAACATATCTGGACTTATGCTGCTGGAGTTACTGCAGATGATACATCAACATCATCATGT